GTGTATCTATATAAGAATTTTATGGTTTTATTAATTAACAAAAAATGAAGAAAACTGAAACTAAAATTTCTAGTGTTAGAAAGATAAATGATCCAGCACTATCGATAGTAAAAATCAAAAGACATCCGGTTTCTCCTAAATCCAAGTCAAATGCCAGTAAAGTAAATTTTAATTTGCCAAGTGGTTCAAATTTGACCACTGTCTTCTCTTTGCCTGTGGCAATCTCAGAAGAAGGTTTAAAAGAATTAAATTCTTCTCCCCCAATTAAAACAAAACCTGTTTATTTCAAGTAAGTTGAAAATTCATGGAGGAACACCCTGTATATTCTGTAGTTTTGTTGTAGTCGCACTATTATTATTTTAATTGAAAATAAATATTTATGATTATATTGAATAAACGATTTTACCAAACTCTTTCCTCAATGTCAATGACCCTTATGTAATTATTGTTATAACTAAAATGTTTCTTTTTAATACACTAATCCCATTTATGACTAATTTATTACTTTAAGAATTTTACAACAACTACTTAGTGTTTGGGACATAAGGTGAAAGTATCATTACCAATAATATTGCAAATGAGTATTTAGTTCTTCCTTTCCCTGTTATTAATTTGTTTGCATGTGATTCAGCATAATTATGTAAAACACCCACAATTCAATGTCTAGTGAAAGTAATAACACGACGTTACTACATTAATACTTTGTATTGTATTAATTATTTAATAATGGCCTTAATTGAAAAATAATTTAATTCAAAACTTTCTACCAGCTACGGACATTCATAAATTTCTTCAATAGAAGAATTAAAGTACATATTTGAGTTATGTACTAGTTTGATTTCAGTTATTAAAACATAAAAATTTCATATTTTATGGTTGTGAAGTTGGTTGGTGATTACAGTCACAGTAAATTATATACAGACAAATCTTTTTTTTTTTCTCAATGTTCTGGTTTAAGTTTCAGGACTGAGGAAAGACTAAATAACCAAATTTAGCAAGATAAAATAATATAATGTTATCTACTGATAAATAAATACTGAGAAGTGGATCAGTTTTTGTTATAAAACTTATTACCATGTACATTGCTTATATATTTTTAAAATTTTTGTACTATACCTTATATCGTAGAAGTTAAATCATTTATGTTTTGGTGTCTATTTATTAATTGTTTGCATATTATTTTATCTTTTTATTTTCTTTCTAATATATTTTGTTTGGTTATCTTGTTTTTCTTCAGACCTGATGAAGTTCTGGAACATGAACCTGAATTGTTGTTACAAATGAAAAAAAAAAAAATTTCTTGCGTTACACTGTGACTAATCCCAACCATTTTATCTATTTCTTCACCATTTTTATTTTTTAATTTGAACCACCTATTTCGGCTCTACCTTATAGGCCATACAGGACTTATTTATATAACTGGAACTTATTTTAGTTCTGGTCCACCATATTACTTCTCGATGATAGATAGGTCTAGTTCACATCGACCATACTGTACATGGAATCCAAGAAGTTATTCATGATATCTCGTAAGAAGTCGAAAAACTTTAAATGGGTGATAGCAGACCTCGTAGAGTTGTAAAATGTTATTATAAACAATGGTCCAATTTTTTTCATAAAAGTAGGAAATTTAAATTTTGTGTTTTTTTAAAGTAAGTTACGTGTTTCGTTGAATAGGAAGTGATAACTAAGATCTATTTAATTTTAGTAATTAACAATTGCATCTAAATAAACTAGACAAAATTTACTTTAAAAGAAAGCAGAGCTTGTGATTGTTAAACCATTTTATAAAAACTAAATTATTCCCAAAGAATAAATAAAAGAAAAATCTTTTCTGAAATAGGTAGGAAAGTCGTGTGAGTGGACACACCAGATTTTTTTTTTGCACAACTTGAAGTAAATCCTAACTTATTTTGTAATAAACCACCAACTTATAAAGTATGGATTAAAATATTATCAAGCAAAGAAGTTTTACTAAAAGTGGGTTATCTGTATCATAGTTTGAGGTTGATAAAAAAATCTTAAATAATTTATGATTTTTTTTTTTAAACAGAACTTAGTGTAGTTTATTTGCTCAAAAGTCTAATGTAAATGATTTTATAAATGGTAAACTCTACTTTCATTTAAAGTAAATTTTGTCTAGTTCATTTTGATGCAATTTTTAATTACTTTAATTAAATATTATTTTAGTGATCACTTCCTATTAAACAAAAAATGTGATTTAATTTAAATACAAATCTTGAATTTTCTATAGAAAATCGGACCATTGTTGATTTAAATTTTTTTTTTTTGTTTTTAAGGTCTGCTGTCACACCATTTAATATTTCTCTCTACTTATGGGATACTCTTTATAGAGGTTGCCGATCTCGATATTTTTTTCAGAAATAAATTATGGAATGTATCTGATGATGAAAATAAGAGGATTTATCTTCATGGACAAAGAAAGACCCTGACCTCGACTGAAGGATCTGTAGTGGATTTGTATACTACCTGTGTGTGGTCAAATAGAAATGGCATTGGATTTCCTCAAATCGTACTCATTGCAGTTACTGCTACATATTAATACATATATTGCTCCTGTCTTGAAGATGCCCCATATGTTTGGGCTCAAAATTTTGCTTTAAATTAGAAAATAAAAACTTATTGTTTCATTTCTGAACTGTAGCTACTGATCCCTAAACTAATACATATATAATTTGATAACTAAACTGCAAAGACAGCAGACCATTCATCGCTTCTGAATGAGGAATTGATTGATTAACTAAACTTTGATTATTGGTGGAGGTATTGTTAAATGTATAAATAAAAAGTAAATCTATTTTAATGTATACTGGCTTTTCTACCTAAGTTAATCATATTTACTATGTAAAAACAAGATACAGTTATTAATGAATAATCTAACAAAAAGTATGGAAATTATGAAAATGTATAGGGCAAGTCAAACTTGTTTATGTAAATATATAATTAGATGAAATAAAGATTACCATATGCATGTTATAATACAATAAGCATTGTATAAGATAATAAGAAATAATGAAATGTTGGATGCAATAAAATTTACAAAACTATTGCTGCTTTATTAAAAAAAATCTGGTGTCGTCACACAACTTTCACTTACCATCCTCTTTGCAGAAATATGGATTTTCAGACAAAGAGGAAATGAAAGTAATCAATGTAATCTATACAATTAAATATTAAATAATACTAGCTATAGCATTTATGAAAACAGCATATGCATATGTACATAATATTGTCAGAGTCCGTATTATATTAAGCTCATGTCACATATTGAAACCTGTTAAAATTTTTCGGGCGCATATTCCTTTGGTTTCTCCATTACAAATATTCTCTGTTACAGTCTTATTTCTTCTTTAGTTAATTATCAAATTTTTTGTATTATATATTTAAATATTGCTTATATCAGAGGTCAATGTGAAATGGTTAATTGTTTCAAATATAAAAAATTAATGTTACTTTCATACGAGAAGCTAATATTGAAAATTAGCTATTTAAGCTCTGTTAAAACATCAATGAGAATAAACCTATAACATATTAAAAACTGCTTAATTTTACACTGAATTTAATCAAAATCGTTAGAGCCGTTTTCGAGAAAATCATTAAGATGTGTTAAATCGATGATATAAAGTGCAAGTTCCGGCTAGCCGATTTTGACAAAAACGTTGCTGTAACATCCAAGGTATATAAAAACTTCTTGGTTTTTGAGCTAGACTGTTAACACACACAGACCATTTTGCAGGATTTGGTTATTAGGAATTAATGGACCTCAAAACCTTTATTTCTGTTGAAATCTGAGATTCGAAAAAATTTTCACGATCGCAATACTTTCCTTTACTATATATACAAAAAAAAACCTGTAACAACCCATGGAGAGTCTTGCGTTCAGTACTATTTAGTGAAAGCACTATTTCTTGGTCTACGGTTGTGCAAGGAGATGATTTGACCAAGATCACTCTCAACCTCCAGGTTTTTCCCCTTAATTAATTATTTTAATTAAGGGAATCCACTTTATAATGTATAATATTATGTTTTTGAAAATACTATAACATAATATTAATTGTTAACTATGTTATTTTATGGTAAGAAAAAAATCTGTACCAGTGTTACCTGTGGGCCTCGGTACTTTTTAAGGAAGTACTGTTGGTAATGATCATGCTCAATTGCCTGATTTTTGCTCCCGAGTAAAGATCCTCACTTTTATAGAGGCTGAATGAGCTCACAGGTGGATCTCCCAATCCCAGTACTTGATCCATGGCTGATATAGCAAAATAAATGATTATCTGCCACAGCAGGATTCAAACCCAAGACTAAAATGTGGGAAGAATGTGAACTACTCCTCTTCCTCTATTTCATTATTGTATAAATGTATTAATATAAAATTTATTTTATTTTTTATAAAGTGTTATATATAATGAGTAGCTATTTTCTGTAATCTATTTTCATTTTATGTTAGAAAATCAGTTTACATTCTTTAAGGGGACAGAATCAGCAATAATTTATTAAATACCTTCCTGTTGAATATTTTATTTTAAAGTTCTTATTTTTGTTGGTTTTTTAAACATAAGTTTATTGCTTAATTTGTTTTGTGTACATTGTTTAAACGAGAAGTTGATCAACGATATTTCTTGTTGTCTTATAAAAATATATATTGTTTTGGCTACTTGGGTCTTTATTTTGTAACTTTAACCTCTATAAAAAAAAAAAAAAAAAAGGTTTGTAAATAACTATCAATATATTTTAACTTGTGTTAATGCATATGAATATATATTGTTTTTGAAGAAACATTTATATTAACTATCAGGTATGATTTCTAAGAAAATTAATTTATGTTAATTTTCTTATTTTTTAGTAAAGGTTTCAGTTAAAATATTTTTACTCCCATCCTTGATTTCAAGAAAATAGCTTAATTTAATTTTAATTTCATGTTTTAAAGGTTAAGTTGATCTTGTTTAAACAGCTGAATTTAACTTTAATTTCATGTTTTAAAGGTTAAGTTGATCTAAACTAGAATAATTGTAAAACCATTCTATTTCCACTTCCCTGACTGTGTTAACATTTAATTTGCTCGTTGATTTTATCTTAAATTTAGCTACTATACAATGAGGTATATATTTTTACATTGTTTATTTTCGTAGTGATTCTAGCTAAATATACATTTTATTTTTTGAACGATTATCTTTCTTTTTTGATTTGTTTTAAATTTATGTTTTATTAATTTCATTTGTTTATTCATTAAAAAACTATTAGTATAATCAAATAAATTATAGTTGTGGTTGTGATACAAAATAAAGCAAAAACATTTATGAAATATAATGTTTTATGAGTGCCGACATTTCACCCTAAGTTTTAGGCCTTCATCAGGACTAAGAAGCAAATTCGTAAGGACTAAGGCATTCATTTTCGTGTAAAGGGTTCCAGATGGATCGGTCACTGAGCTATGTGTCCTGCCCATATTTTTTTATTATTAAATAGGAAATAAATGTTTCCATAGAAACCAAATGAAATTTCCCTGGAAAACTTAGTTATTTTCATTTTGGAAACCCAAATATATGTATTGTACAGAATTGTCATACTTATATTGATTGTCGTAAGTTTGTATTTATAATTAAAATAGCTCTGTTAAGGTTTATTATCTTTTTAAAAAAAATAATTTCTTCTGAAAATGGTGTGTTAAGTGAAAGTTATGCGATTCTCACAGTACCAGATTTTTTAGTTTCAATTCTGGAAATTTTCTAATTTCTTACTTGTTTTAAAATTTCCTGTGGTCTTTATCAATAACATTATTATTATCATTATTATTATTTATTTTTTTTGTATTGAACTTCCTTTCTCAATTTATACATTAAAATACACTAACGGGTTATCATTCTCATCTTCTGAACATTCTTCGGAATATCATACTTTTTTTTTCTCCTTCACCTCATCTTTTTGGGTCCGTGGGATTTTCCTGGACCAGAGGAGAGAGGAGGGAATTAATGCCAGAGTTAAATGCCCTCCGCCACTGGAACTCGAACTCATAATTTAGGTTGCCAGGCAACACATTATACCATTCGCCCACTCTGCTCTGAGGAATAACATACTATAAAGTGAAGGAGTATGTTTTCAGAATATAATTTAGTTTTATTAGTCATAAAAACATATAATTATAGAAAATTCAATTCCAACAACAGGATCTCCATAGAAGGGTATATTGAAAAGAGCTGCACATATTGAAAAATATGTATTAAATTTACACACAAACATAATCGCCATTGGGATCTGAGTATTAATGAAAGGAGAAATAGGACTAATAAAGAGTTGCTTACAGAAACTGGTCAATCAATATCTCATGATACAAAGGCAAGCAAGTTAAGATGGGTGGGACATGTAGCTCAGAGCAATCCATCAGGAAACCTCTGCACAGCAATGAATACCTCAATAGTGGGCAAGAGATCTTGGTGAAGGCTAACAACCAGATAGGTGGACCAAAGTATCAAATTTCTGCATGCAGATAACTGAAAAGTAACAGCCCTAGGTGGAGAAAGCTAGTTAGAACGGAGAAAGGTCTGCAGAGCCAATAGAAAAAAAAAGTTAAATACAGTTAAAATATTTTTTAAAAAATCCTAAATCATAAAATTACTACATGTAGTAATATTACAAAAAGACTGTATTAATATTACTAAGAATATACTGATGGTGGTGATTGTTGATGGCACAACTTTCACCATCAAAATTTTTGAGAGTTGTGTATTTTGGCAGGTTTTTGAATTTTTGAGAAGGGCACATTTTGGCGGGCTCTTTATTTTTTGGAATAAAGTTTCATAGTAAAGGACAAGGGGAAAACAAGGAAAAGACTGCCACAAGTCCAATTGTATATGATCTATGTTTTTTATAATTCTATCTTCGCTTACACTTTTTTAAAGAAATGTTGAGCAATAAAATATCTTGGGAATGCGGAAGAAAATATGGTCAGAAAGAAAATATTTCACCTACACGTAAAAGATCCAAGTGGTGGAATGATAGGGTGAAGGAATCAGAGGTGAGAAAGAAGGCAGTATGGAAGGAGTACCATAGGTACAAGACCCCATCCAATTGGGAACTGTATGTTCGAAGGAAAAACAATTCAAAGCTAGTAATGAGGGTGGCAAAGAGAAAGAGCTGGGAGAAATTTGGTCAAAATTTGCTGAGCAATTATCATGAAAACGCCAAAGTTTCCTGAAAAAAGATTAAGAAAATGAAAGGAAAGAATAGCAAACCAATAAGAAATGTAAAGAACGAGGGAGGCAGATTGATTACCGGGGACCAGAGTATTTTAGAAAGGTGGAGACGCCACTACAAGAAAATTTTTTCTGGAGATGTGGGGAGAATAATTATAGGAAGTATACAGGGAGAATATGATAAGGTGATATGGGAGGAAGAGGTGGAAGTAGCAATGGAGAGATTAAGTAGGACTCAGGAAAGCAGCAGGAAGAGACTGCATCTTTTCTGAATTCATCAAATATGGTCGTAACAGAACTATTGAAAGCATTGCAGAGCCTTTTTCAGAAGTTTGATTACTGAAAAAGCTATCCCTAAGGAATGGGAATACAACATAATTCTCCCGATACACAAAAAGGGCAACGCTATCGAATGCGAGAACTATAGACCTATCTGTCTATCCCAGGTTTTGTACAAGCTCTATACCTCAATATTAGAAAAGCAGCTGAGGTAGTGTAGAACGACTTAGAAGAGGAACAGGATGCTTTCAGGTCTCAATGCCAGACCCAATATCATATATTTTCTCTCAGAACAATGATTGATAAACCGTGGGAACGAGGAAGGAGTATCTTCTTGGTATTTATAGATCTAAAGCCACCTCTGCAAAGCAGTTATAGAGAAGAATGTTAAAGTACACATCCTCAAGGCTGTATACCTACTTAGCCTCCTTTACAGAAGGGAAAGCTGAGTACCACTAGATAAGCACCTTAGCAGAGTTATTGCAATGGAAATGAGATACCTTCGGAGAGTGGCAGGCCTAACTAAGAGAGATCTCATACGGAATGAGAGAACAAGAGAGGAAGTTGGAGTTGTCCCTTTAAAGGATACGATTGAAAAGAGACAACTCAGATGGTTTGGACATCTCTGTCAAATGAGTGAAGACAGGGACCCAAGAAAATATTTTGAGGCCTGCCCAACTAGAAAACGCCCAAGAGGGAGACCCAGAATACAATGGAAAGACTGCATCTCTAAAGTGAGAGAGAGAAGATGATAAAACTGGGAAGCCATGAGGGATCTGGCTCGGGATCAAGAAGCTTGGTTTGCCTGGACAGAGGCACCTCCATGCTGAATGGCACTAAGGAGGAAGAGGAAGAAGAAGAAGGAAGAGGGGAGGATAGGTTCTTGCTCCATCGACCTTGGAGGGATGAGCACCTCTGCATTAATGCTTCAATGTGTTTGTCGTTTCAACTAATATAATAAATTCATAAAGAAAATGAATCAGATTGTCATAAACAGAAATAACCTGGAAATCTAACTTTCTTCTAGTATATTGTAATGTCCTGTCTCTTTACAGATCTATAGCATCAAAATTGCTCTTGGAACAATCTGAAAATACCACCTTGACATAGCTCCTATCCTAGGAATCTGTTGGATTAGTCAGACATTATATACAATAGAAAAAATCCCATATTATTTAATCGAGTCACAATGAGATGTCCCACAAGCAACAGTATAAAGGGAAGATTTCGACAACTTATTGAGTTCAGAGCTGTAAGGATGAGAAGGTGACAAAGTTGATGAATAAAGGATATTTAACCATGGATTCAATGACAGACTAAGAGAAATGTCTATAAAGAAGAGAAGTTTGGAAAAAGATCTCTATTAGTATTAGAAAAGACTATGAGAATAAAAAGGAGTTTGAAGCTACTGAACTTCTTAGGAAAAAGAAACAGTACAGAGTATTCTTCAGAGCAATTAATAAGAAAATAAAACATTCTAAAATTAAATATACTTATTACCTGAATGTGGACAGAAAGCTGTTCATCCAACATCCAACAGATTTACTTACAGAGTGGAACAGAATTTTTTCCTACTTCTAACCAAGGAAGAAATTGTGGAGTATTTCCATGAAGAGATTCCTATTAATCAATATTTGGAATCACTAGATAAAGAGATTTTGAATAGAATTGAAATTATCCAAGCTTAAAAATAATAATGCACAAGAAGCTGATGAATTTCCTACATAATTACTTAAATGTGAAGGAAGTGAACAAGTGAAAATCATAACTATTTGGACAGATGAAGTAATAACAGAAGTTTGTTCAAGTCCATAATCAGTCCAATCTATAAAAATATATGGAACAAAATACAAAACGTTGTGTAACATCCCCTTTTAATATCCACTCCTATTTCAATGAAATATTTTAGGTTATTACCAGTGTGGTTTTCTTAAAGGGCAATCCACAATTGACCAAATAATCTGCTTAATTATAAAACTCGAGAAAGAGCATGAATACAAGCTGAAAACACTATTTCTTTGTTGATTTTGGAGCTGAATACAAAAACATTGATAAAAAGCAGCTCTACGAGGCAATGTAAAAACTTTAAATCCTTGAAAAGCCAATCAAAGTGGTAAGTTTCACTTTGAGGGACGGGAGATCTGTGTTGTAAGATGTAACAAGATATAAAGGATTCCTCTGAAACAGGGAAATGCTTTGATTTCCCGATTGATCTGGCTCTGGAAAAGGCCATTAAAGATTCTAAAATAGAAGTGGGTGGAATACTATACAGTCGAACTTTACAAACTGATGATAGACAGAGATATGTTCCAGGTTGTAAAAAGATGATAAAATAAATTAATTTAATTTTTTTATTCGATTCCCTCGAAATTCGATTCCCTTAAATACTCTGACAATTACATAAACTATGACCAGATAATTCTGCATTTTGTCTACATTATGATAACTGATTTGATGCTTAGTGTCAATGATATATAATATCTTACATAATTTGGCTACTTTTTTTCAGCCGTGTGAATGTCTTGAAAAAATATGTGTGAAAAAACTTCTAATCACATAATAAAATAGATTTTACATTTGCATGATTGATTTCTGCATTTCATATTATAAAGGTTGACATATTTAAGAAATTAATAATTATTTTTAATCTTTTGCTTTGATAGTTGTGTTTAATAGAAATACATTGTATATGCAGGAATTGTTAAAATCTCAAACTAAATAAAATCATAAAATTTAATGCATCTATTATTTTGAAGTAGGGCATAATAGTTTCAAATTTAAAACCACTAATGTGGAAAAAAAAGAAACTAAAATTTAACTTTAATGCCAAGTTTTTAAAGACTAAACCATGAATTTCAAAATTGAACTTCTATAAGTCATTTTTCTAAGTAAAGTACTGCGAGCCGTATTGATTTAATTTTTGAAAGTCAAAGAAAACTTTAAAAAATAATTTTCTGAAACTTAGGAATTTGCACATTCCTGATTTTTCCTTTGGACTGAAAATATGTTAAAAAAATTATTCTAGGTTGATTTTTTTCATTGAACCATACATTTTTTTGTCTGTTTAAATTAAAAAATAGATAACTTTTCTAATCAACAAGTTTGGTCTTGTTTTGGATTGTTAATTGGTTATTAAATTTTTTATACAGCTAACCATCATGCTTCAAAATCCTTCTTATTGGTTAATTTATTATACATGAGCATTTCAAACTTTTGTCTCCATTCTGAATTTGCCATTCACCTATTATTTCTAAAGCATATTGAAACTGATTGTTCATAATTTTATAAATTGCATTATAGGCGCAGACTTTGGAGGTGGCGAGAATATTGTTTCGAACATAAACAAATTAATTTTAAATGTTCAATATTATATTTGTTTGTTCCACAATAATTATGTTGAATTTTTACACATAATTAAAACTTCCGCCATATTTTTTTACTTTCACTTATCTGTTTATGTATGTGACCAGTCTAGCTCAAAAACGAGAAGTCGTATGAAAGTGAAATTGCGTATTTAAGGTTTGTATATACCTGAGATGTTACAGCAAATTTTTCATCAAAATTGACTAACCGGAAGTGCCACTTTATATAATCGATTTAACATATTTTTACGATATTCTCACAAACGCCTCGATTTTGATTAAACTCGGTATATCATTGTATTATTAAGCATTTTTTAAATTTAAGGTAGGTTTTATTCTCATTGATGTTCTCTAATATGGCTTAAATGGCAAATTTTCAATATTAGCTCCCTCTAAAGTACCTTTAATTTTTTTCATTTCAAATAATTAAACATTTCACATTAATCTTTGATATAAAAAATAGTTGAATATAATATATGAAAGAATTTGGTAGTTAACTAAAGGAGAAATTAGAGATCGTAATGGATAATAGTTGAAATGGTGAAACCAAAGGAATACGAGTACGCCCGAGCTCACCCGAAAGATTGTAGCAGGCTAATTAAACAAATACAAATACCCACAATGAAATGTAAATTAATATAGTGTCTATAATTTTTACTTTCACTTCCCCTTTGTTTGAAAATACTTATTTCTGCTAAAAAGAGGGTGTTAAGTGAAAGTCTTGTGATGGGTACACCAAATATTTTTTTTTTGTCACTCACTCCCTCCTTCCAATTAAAATCAAAAGTCTGAATTGCATTATCTCTTCATTCATTATTAACCTCCAGTATTTTTTTTGTTTTCAATGTTTAAAGTAAATTTTTAAATATTTTTGATAATAGGTACTGGAGATGCATTAATTAATATTTTTATTGAATTATGTTTGTAATATTTATTTTTAATGTAGTTTAAATATATATATATATATAAATCAATGTTCATTTATCTTTTAATGAGAGGACTACTAGTAATCAATTTACAAAATATATAAGAATACTTTCAGTACAGTATATTTTATAACACTTGTGTGAATTTCATTGTAAATAGTCACGAAAGTTACCTTCTTTTTTTTTTTTTTTTTTTTTTTTTAAATAAAATTATTATGCCTTGTTTCAATGGAGACCATACTTTTTAAATAATTAGACTAATTCAATTGGTATTTCAGGCCTTCAAAAAAGAACTCCACTCAACTAGTCAAAAATAAAAAGAAAGGAACTGATGGTGCAGAATCTATCACAGAGGGGACGAGCGAGGTAATTGTGTGAAATAATATTATTTCTATTTGATAAGTTGTAATAGTTAACATTAGATTCTTGAATATTGTTAATAGTTCTTCGTCCAATTTATAAAGTAATATATTATTACCTGTTTTACTTAAAGGATTCCTTGTTGACCTCTTATGAAAATTTTAGTATTTTATCATGTATTGCCATTTTTTAAAAATTTTTATGAAAATATCGAAGTATGTTGTAGAGTGCTTTCAGGCCCAACAGGCAAGCGCAAGACCAGATTTTTACCTTACGAAATGTGATAGAGAAGTCCTGGGCCCATCAAAGGAACGTCTATCTGACATTCTTGGACCTGAAAGCAGCATTCTGGAAAGAAATTCGTGAGCCCTTAAGGACAAAGAACATTCCTCAAAAGCTTCTAAATGCTATAAAATCGATGTACCATGAGCCCAAGGATTTTGTACTTCTAAATGGATAGGAATCAGGAATGCTTGGCATGGAAAAGGGAGTGAAATAAGGCGACTCTCCGAGCCCCTTTCTCTTTATTGTATATATGGATGAGATTGCTTGCATTTACAAAAGCACAGCTAGAATGCACATGGGCCAATGAAACTTACACCCTGTAGTTATATAGTCCTTCCTATTTGCAGACGGCATTGTTCTTATTGCCCAGAGCGAATTCAAAAGGCAGTAAGGGAGTGGAATAAGGAACTGAAGAGAAAGGGAATGACTATTAATTCCAAAAAAATCGAAGTCCTTCAAGTTGGTAGATCTCAAGATGTCGAGATAGTGGACAGTTAATGGAGGTGGTTATGGATTTCACTTACCTTGGCATGGTGATCAATAGATCTGGTAAAGTAGATTTGAAAATCTCAAGCAGAATCTCCAAGGCAAACTCCGTTTACTAACAGACCTGTATCTCGGTTATTGGAAAAAGGGAAGTGGAACAGGAAGTAAACATCTACTTATTAAAATCTGTCTTCCTGTCAGTACTTCTCCATGGAGTGGAGAACTGAATTATGTACAAGAGACTAGACAGCCATGTCACTGCCTCGTAAATGAAGTCCCCACAGAGGAACTGTGTTCGGAATGAGAGGATTAGGGAAGGGCTGAATGTAGGTCCGTTAAAACTAGAGAAGAGGCAACTGAAGTGGATCATCACAGAAAGCAAATCAGAAAAATGGAAGTGAGACTGTTGGGAAAAAAGACCAAGAGGACATCCTAGAACCTCCTATTTCACCCATTTGGAAGGAATAGGGAGATGCAAAGGGAAGAACCTGGAAGAAATGAGAAACCTTCTCAGAGACAGAAACTCATGGCACCGGTGGCTAGAAGCATCCCTAAGCTGAAAGGCACTGGCGGATTTACTTTCGGGCTGAAGCCACCCCCAAAATGGTAAAATGTAACCAGGTTTATGGTAAAAAATATTAAAAAATTATGTGTTAAAGTATTATTCTTCATTTAATTACATTTAATAGGACTAAAAAGCTTCCGGGCTGAAGCTCCTCCCCCCAAAATTAAATTCTGGATCCGCTAGTGCTGAAAGGCAAATGGGCGGAAGAAAAAGAAGAAGAAGCATATTTTGTTTCTGGATAAACCTATAAAGTTAAAGAGAATAGCAGTATGAAAGCACATTCAATGATGGTTTAAAAGATTTCTAGGGAAGACTTCTTGTTGCTATGTCTGTTGTATGGTTCAGCGACCAATTTTATTTTTCTATTTAATTGAAATTTTTTCTCGTATGTATACATAAATATTACAAAACTGTAATAAAACATTTAATTTAACACGTTTTGTATTATTACATTTTAGTTATATATAATTTTTTTTTCTCTTTATACTTTTCCTTGTTTGTTTTTTCTTTATGCATATAAGTTATCTTGGTTTTTTTGCCCAGATGATGCCTGAGTTGGCAAGTTAACTATTTACCTGTATGTTTGGAGACTCAATATCTTATTTTTAATATCTGATGACTTGTGTCTATTTTGGGGATTATTACAAGGGCTGTCTCATTGTCTCATACTTATGAAGTTCTCCTCAATAATTAGACCAAGATGCATTTATTCGTCATTCAGTCACAACTTTTATTGTTTATTATAAATTCTAGATTTGAAGTTCTTGGAACTAGACTTTTTTTTTTTCCTCCTGAAAATCAACACTTATTTAAACTTCTGTCTGTGTAAAAGGATTTATGAAATAGACATTTATAAGTTTCTACATTCATGTCTAGAACACCTTAATCTAATATAGAAAAGAGTAATTAATCATTCTTTGAATCTTGAATAATGAATGTTTGATTCATCCTGTCATTTCTGAATGAAGGTAACTACTTTAAAATTTATTTTATTAGCTTTTATTTAATTTAGAGCTGAGAGAGGTTCGACAGTATCTTGTTTGGCAGCCGTATCCGTCACACTATGATGGACTCTGGCAACACCTCTAGTCCCCATCATACCTTCAAGATGGACTGTTATACCAAATTTTTAGCTAAATATTATTTTATTTTATTATTTAAATCCAATCTCAATCTTATGGGTTGTTCTTCATCACTGGAACTCCATAGCAGTTCAAATTTACGCTATTATTTTGTCAAGCAAATACCAAATTTATAGATAATGGATATTTATTATAAAATAAAAATTAAGTAATAAGATAATTTTGTTCAGGTGTTTAGTTCTTGATTTATATTATAATTTGTTTTTAACAATTATTTTTGTTTCTTATTTTTCAGTACATTTACAAATTGACCTCGGATATTCAAGCTATAGAAGACAAATTATCAAAAGTAGAGGGCGTTCTTTCCAAAAAACTTGATAATGCTTCGACTTCACAAAGACCTCAGGTCAATAGTGTATCATTTAAGACTGACCCACTTAAGGAACAAAAGGTTTATAATGCATCAGATTATGTCGACGATGTCAATATGGTGACGGGATATCCGCCATTTTATGATAGAAATTCTTATTCTTTGGAATTACATAACCGGATCATTAAGCCGCTTAAAAGTTCAGAACCTCTTCCTCAGCAGTATCCAATAGACTTTGATCCAAAGGCTGCGGTATCCGCAATTCGTAGCGAGCTTGAACAATGGAGGAAAGATAACAGGCAAACATATCCGACATTATCCAGTGTTTCAATCTTAAGAAATGAAGCTTCCAGTTGTGATCTTGTAACTTCCATCTCTGAAGGTATTTGTTTTATTATATTATATTAAATTTGTTTCCTATTTATTTTGTTTATTATTTATTCCTGTTGCGACCACCAATACTGCTATCATTCCTTATCCAACTTCTCTAATACCAAGGCCACGTGGGCTATTCTTAAAAAACTGACCATTGATAATACACCTCAGTTCCAGTCCATTTCCGTTTCTACTCTCACTTTGTCTCCTGCCCTTTCGCAACCACATCTCCTACGTCCAGTCCGGTTCCCATGGTTTCCTCTTTTAATACTGGATCATCATACCTTATTTTTTTCCCACATTACTTCTATGATCTCCTTAACTCCAATTCCCATACCAAAGATTATAGTCCCCTTGAAGAAGACTTCTAATCCTCAGCTCTTAATGATTTAATGATTTCAGTACAATCTCCCTTCTTTCAAACCTCTCCAAACTTTTAGAGCGACTACCCCAATCCCATTTCTTAGAGCAAAATAATATCCTGCTATATATATATATATATATATATATATATAATATATATATATATATATAGTTATGCAAACAAAAACAGTTAACACTATTGATCTTTATTTTACAATTGGTTCGAAAATATGTTTATTATTTATTATTTTAATGACATTAAATATTATGACTCATTGAAATTTTTCACCCTTACACCTGAATTGTATTTTATCTAATATTACTTAAAATTTTAAGAGAAAATTAATTAGTCATTAAAAATTAAAATATTTTATTTTCAATTTGTCTTAGAATGGAATAGCATTAAATCAAACAAAATAAATATTGAATGGCTTCTTACCAAAGATGGATATCGTATCATTTTCAGAATGTGAAGAAAAAGTGAATTTTTGATCATCAATAGTCTTACTTTATTTGTTATGTTTTTTTACCAATGTTTCAATTTTTGTTTTATAGATTTAACTCAGACTATTTCGGATGATTTTAATTAAGATTGTTTTAGGTGTATCATGAAAACAAAATCATTAGAATCGGTTTAAATTGAAATTACATATGTTATAGAAAATTGACTTTTTCCCAACATTTTAAAAAAGACAGATTTCTGTATTTGATATGAGACCACTCAATCGAATATAAAAAAATCAAATAAAATGTACAAATTTTATTAAATAAAAATTTATTAAACCGACTACATCATGGAAGTATCACTTCCAGTTAGTTGATTTTGATAACAATCTAATTACCTTAAATAAATAATAACCAGTATCATATATTTTTTTTTGTTTTTGAGTTAAGCTATTCAAATAAATATGCAAAAATCCTTTTGTGAGACTGAGGAATTAGTTATTTGACGATCCCCACTCATCTGTCACCCGTGGGACCAGGGGTGCCCATCCCCCCAAGGCGAATAAACCTTCCCCCACCCCTCCCATGATAATTTATTGTTCTCTACTTCTTGAAAACAGTGCACATGAAAGTAGAATTTAAATATTCATAAATTATACTACACATTCTGTGATCTGTTCCATGCTTCCACTTGGTTTTTATTTGAAACTTTTCATTTTGAAAATTCATTACCCTGTCAAAATGTGCCTCCCTCATAAATCTTGATGGCACAACTTGCTCCATGGAACCCCTTTCTGGGCACCCCTGCATGGGATATCCCTAAGTAAGGATATGAGATCCACATGAGGTATTTAGGGTATTAAGGAATGAGTAGCGACTTAAGGTTTATGAAAATGAAGTATTGCATAGATTATTCATACCAAAGAAGGATGAGTCAACTGAATAATATAATAACCAATTATTGTGACTCATTTTTTCATGCCTTTTATGTCAGTTTGATTTATTTTAATTTTAAAATAATTCAGGAAACATTGTAAAATGAATTTAATGTATGGTATTCATAACTTTTTTTGTAATAATCTATCAATTTTATTAATATTTTTCTTACATAGTTCATAACCATTTTTGATCTTCCAGAAAATACTGTGTCTCGAGATGTGGCTGAAAAAGATATACCATCATCATCAGAAGATTCAAGGTAAGTCATTAATATTTTCTTTTTCTTGTGGCATTTTATATGGAAAATATCCTTTCATAATACCTCTTTGAAGTCATTTTAAATTAATGACTATATAATATAATTACTATATATATATATTAGTTAATGAGCTGTTTATTATGAGACCTTTAAAATATTTTGGTGAAGTGGGTATTAAAATTTGCAAACTTATATTTTAATATAATCATCATATTTAATTATTAACATTTTGATATATATTTTTTAATATTACATATTAATTTTAACTTTGTTGATCAAGTAATAATTTTCATTTATTCATTTGGCAATCTTAAAATATTTTCTGTTAGGTATAACATGATCTTTTTTTTTTTTTAAACAATTTATAAAATGCCACAGCATGAGTAGTTATTTATTTTTTGCATGCTATTTCCTATTCCTATTGCATTATATATTTATTTTATTATACATTTTTCTGTATATGTCATCGTTATTTTAAACGCAGCAATCGTTTTTTTCGGTTTTACTTTAGGTGATTATCACAATTTTCAGGAAGTTTTTTTTGCGTGTTTTACTTTTGTTTTTATGAAGATAGTGTTTTGGATCAAGTTTCTTCATTATGAATCTTCAAGTGAGTATTACTTCAACATTTATTTTGCATTTTTTTTTTTATTATTACTATTTTTCAATGCAAGATTTAATAATAGCTATTTAATTTTTTTTTCATACATTAAGGAAGAATTTATTTTATAACTATATTAGTCGTTTATTTTATTCAATTTTTTTAGGAACATTCAAGGTTAATTTTTTTAACACTAACAATTATCCTATTTTAAAAAGTGATTATTTTTTATTATTTCTTGATAGAACATCCGACGGTTGGTTATTACTTTATTATTTCTTTTAATGAATCTTTGACTTCTTAATATCTTTTTAACATCGAATTTGATCTTGAAAATATTTTTTAATATTAAGTTTCATCTGTGTTGATAGTATTGGAAAAAAAATTTCATTTTATTTTTAACATAGCTTTTATTTATTTTTTCAATTAAATTTGCCATTGTGTTGTAATGCATCAAGCAAATGTGTTGGTGTTTATTTTATCGGATTTGGATGATTCATAGTTGAAGAATGAAATGTTGTGTATGTAGGATTTTACTTTTGATATGTTCATGGTGTGATTTGAAATAAACCAAGGGGCATTGATGATTTTACGAAGTATTTTTTATTGTGTGGTTTGAATTTTGTTTTGCGGTACCCCAAAGTTCTGCTCCGCATGTCCAAATAGGTCTTAGTATGGTGGTGTAGATTAGTTGCTTGTTTAATAAGTTGAGTAGAGATCTGTAGTCCAAAAGATGTGACAGTTGTTTGTATCGTCTGGTCAGATCTTGTTTTTTTTATTTAGTGTGAATGTTCCAGGTGAGTTTTTTGTCCAAGTATAATCCAAGATATCGTACATGAGTTTTTGAGGGAACCGGCTTATTGTCTATCTATGACTTTTAAAAAAAATAATTCATAATTAATTTTTTTTTAAATTTAATTTTCAAGTATTAGTACAGGATTAAAAAATGTTTGATAGATATTTTTAAATGAAAACTTGTGTGTTCTTATACTGTTGACGTTCACTTCCATACAGTTAAACCTATGCTATTTCTATATTTAGTGAAAAAGAACTTCCCATTGCTGATCACATTTATTCTGTCAACATTTTCTGAAATGTTTCGAAGTGTTCTTCCATCTTCTTTGTATTGAATATTATTATTCTACAACATAACATAAACAACAACCAATTAATATTGATTTAATAATTACAACTATAGTTAAATTATTTAAATACTATATGATTTATTTCCTTTAATTAAATTGATTTCCTGTATATTATTTGTTTTGTGTTTTAGTTATGAAGTTCAATAGTTATATGAATTTTCAATTTAATAATTTAGTTCTTTGTCTACCTAGTCTAGACAATTTTACTCACCTGCCACGTGGCATCTCTGTTGGCCTTAAAATATTGAAAAAGGAGTTTATCTTGTTTAAGCATCCACAGAATAAACTTCACTGTTTTTCTTCCTACTTTATATTTATATTTTGACTAGTTATAATTACTAGAATACTACTTAATACTTGAAAGATTCGGAAACTGACATGAAATCACTCATGGAATTCTTAAAAGAATTAAGAATCACGTTGTTTTTATATTATTTTAGTTTTTTTTACGACTGGCATCCCAAACCATCTCCTTCCTCAAAAATATACAATGGTCAACCATCTACTATTCAGTTAAAAAGAATCAAGTTTTACCATCGAGTTTAGAAATACAAGATATGCCAATTACCCTTCGAGTGCACCACACGACTTTCACTTACAACCCTCTTCTTAGCAGAAATAAGTATTTTCAGACAAAGGAGAAGTTATTACGGACTTTGCAGGTCTTCATCGGGGCTACAAAAGATACAAAACATGGTGAAAATAAAATAAATGAATATAAGTAGATAGTAGATATATCTACTTATATTCATTTATTTTAATTTTCACCATGTTTTCTATCTTTTCTAGCCCTGATGAAGACCTGCAAAGTGGGTCGAAACGTCGGCAAAAATTAAATAATACTATTTGTATAATTTAGTATTTATTTAACTGTACCACCCGATCAACTCCTTCTCATAAAAAGTTATAAGTTAGTATTAATGGCTCTAAAAGATTATTCGGCAGAAATACGATAACAGAAAGTTACATAGAACATTATATATTTGCCACAGGCCTGCAAAAAAAAAAAAAAAAAAAATTGAACCGAAAATATAATTCTCACAGATAAAAAATTACGCAGTTTTTTCGTCTGCTGAAAATTTTTAGTTTTTCTTCTTACAGACTTTAACAGTGTGGCTGTCGATATAGTCCTTAATTCTGGGTGTGTATGTGTGTATATTTAGTTCATATTTTTTAATATTAACAGGAACAATCATATTAAATTGAAAGGTTTCTTCATGAATGGACAAAAATAAAAAAACAAAAAAATAAAAAGGAATGATGTAAACAGGAAAACGCTTTTTAAAAATTAATTTTACAACCTGTTTTCCCACTAAGCCGAGTATAAATCATCCAATTAGCCCCCCAAAGGAAGCTAATCAAATAAACAGACTCATTAAGCTTTGGGGCGAGTTATATTCCGGGATTTACCCTTCATTTCCAGGAACCGTATGGATTTTTTTTACTACGTCATTGAAATCAACCTTCCATTGTTAGCGTGAGCCAATGAATGAACTCTGTAACAGCTGGTACCTCTAAGGTACCCATGGGCACGCGCCTCGATTATCCTTGCCGTACCTTGTCTATTTATCACCATCATGGATAAGAAGCTCAAGTGTGGTGCCTTTATTTGTACAGGGTTCTTTTCTGTCAGAAGTAATATATGAGGGGCAAAAGGGTAGGTTTTTTTTTTTCAACATCGCATTTCTATTTAAAATATTGAGGGGGCGAAAATATCGTTCGTTCCCAATAATTTGACTTGTAAAAAAAAAAAAAATTAAAATTAATAATAAATGAGCATGAATGAATTTACAACTATAGAAACATACTTATAAATTTATTTTACTTTTACTATATAATATATAGTAAGGGTAAGTATTGCGATCGTGAAAACTTTCGAATCTTAATTTTCAACGAAAATATACCTTTAGAGGTCCCCTGAGTCCAAATAAACTTCTTCTTCTTCTTAATCAATTCCTCTTCTACCGTTAGATCAGTGTAGAGGATCCTGTTTATAGAGCTTCATCCATTTATCTCGTCCCCGCACCAGCTGACTGTGTCTATTCCAGTTCATTCCTCTCCTATCGAAATCCTCTCTGACTGGGCCTTCCCAGGTCTTTCTGGGCCTTCCCAGGTCTTTCTGGGCCTTCCTCTCGGAGTTCTTCCTTCTACTTTAACTTCATATATAGTTTTGGCCATTCTTCTCTCCTGCATTCTTTTGACATGGCCAAACCGGCGTAGCCTGTTTTCCTCAATTGTGTTTTCTGCTGGTTTTATTCCCAAATCGCTTCTTATCGTTGTATTCCTAATTTTGTCCCTCCTTGTTTTCCCCTCTATTCTCCTCAGAAATCGCATTTTCATTGCTTGGATATTGCTTTTATGTTTTGAAATTATAGTCCAGGATTCACTGCCTCATGTCAGTATGGGGACAAATATATGTTTGTACACCTTCTTCTTGAAATTTTGTTTATACTTCTTTCTTGGCTAAGAAGCCTGTTTTTGCTGGCCAGTTTTATTCTTTCCCTGATTTCGCCAACCGTTCTCATTTAGATGAGCTCCCAGATACTTAAAATCTTTGACGTGCTCCAGTTCCTTCCCCTTCAATCGAAGTACTCGATCTCCCCTCTCTTCTCCTCTTCCTATCTTCATAATTTTTATCTTGTGACTGTTTATTTCCATGTTGAACAGTTCTAATTCTTCCTGCAGGATTCGGAGGTTGTATTGGAGATTTCTTCCGTTGTTCCCGAATACCACGATATCGTCGGCATATGCCAGAAGGGTGAGATGAACTATTCGTAGCTCTCTGTGGCCCAACCTAAAGGTCTCATTCTTCCCTTAGCTCTCTTCAGTGCCATGCTGAGCACTATTATAAACCATAAAGGGCTTAGACTAATACGTAAAATACGTATAAATTTATTTTACTTTTATAGACAATACATAAAACTGTTAATATTTTAAAATTAATCTCTCCTTTAACATTTTTTTAGACCTCAAGTCATGGGACAGTAATATATGTTTTGTGTGAGAGAGGCCTACTAGTAAAGAAGAAGCCTTGAAGAGAGAGGGAAGGACTATAAAAGGGTCCGCTTATAGCTCCACGAAGGCTATTAACATGGCCCTTTCGTCAAAAAGGGGGGGGGGCAAAAAAAAAACAGTCCAGGAGAAGGGGGGGCAAATGCAAGAGAGACCCTTGTGCTACCCCACGTTAGAGATAAGGCCGTTCCCATTCATCTCTCGGCTTACTCAACAGGATTTATAATGGAGGCTCTTTTGAT